TGTTCGTTCAATATTCATGTTTTATAGGAATATTATTTGTTTATTTATCACTGATTTCTTCTTATATGAGTGGCTGGTGCTTGTGTGTTTTAAAAAATATATATATTTAGGTTATTTATAATTTATGTATAATGTATTATATGTTTATTATCTGAAATAACCAACTGAAATCACACTGAAACCCACAGTCTAACATCCTACATAGACATTAGTCATCTTGATATAATAAGCCTATACCATCCGCCACAAGTGTAGTGAACCTTGGTATTACATGCGGATGAGTAAATGATGTGGTGGTGTAATGAGATCCCGTACTCATTGGTTTAATGCCTAGCAACCATTCCTGCTACCTTCAAACAAGACATTCTAAAAACATTGCCAACGTAAAAACATAACTGCAGAAGATTCTTCCTTCTATTTATAGTGGTAGAATAAACTGTCTGTCCAGTTCCTCGTGTTTATTTCTGCTGGCTCATTCATATCAAGAGATAAACAGTTTATGACAAGAATGTCATAAGAGAAAATAGCTGTCCCTGACGCATTTTATTCTTGTGTTTAAGAAGAACATTTTAAATTTGATAGGAAAGGAAAAGTTCTTTTTAAAACAACACAAAAATAACAGAGCTGTTTAGTGTTTTTTTCCAGACTGGAGTATGGAAAATAAGTCTCTTAAGTGAGGGACGCAGACCTAGTGGCACACAGGAACTTGATTCTAAATTTCAATACTTAGGAAAATATGAGTCACGCGCTGTCCCCTGGGAAAAACTTTTGTCAAAAAACAAGAACTTATTATCTGAAGGCCATTTCATTATTATTATAAAGATTTCATTGTGAAAATGACCAGGCATGACACAAGACATACAGACCAACAATTCCTTGAATTTGGAGTTTTCCTGGCATAAAAGTAGTTTATCTCTGAAGAGAAAACGAATGGAGAAACACTAACTCTTATACAATGCCATAATACATTATCTTACCTTATATATTTTTGTGTTAATGCATGTAGCCATGTAAGCTTAGCTTTTGCCCATGCTGTGCTGTGTCCTTATATTTTTTATTGTCCCTCGGCCATATGTCAATTAAGCAGGTAAGACTCGGATATGTCATCTCTTCACATATATTCCCAAGTATTGTTTTGCAGCAATGACACAAGATATTTAGACACTGTAGATATTGGTAAATGAGATCCATACTGAACATCTTGCCCTTTCATGGTTCTGGTGACCTTCCAATATGTTTTTTTGTTAGTCGTGTTTTCTAGTATTTTGGCTTATTTAAACTGTTTTGAATTTTGGTATCCTAATTCTGGCTAGCATATTTGATTTTACGTATTTATGGTATATCGATACAGATAAATATTCAAGCAGATCTTTGCCTTCAGGCATTCCATAAACTCCAGCCACTCTAAGATTCATTAGTATATGTTCCGCTTTCTTTTACTCTTTTCTAATGTTTTTAGTTAGATTCCAGCCTTCTTCTTGTATGGTAAATTGAATAATACAAGAAACCCAAGCATTCATTATAAGTCAAATGGCATACAACAAATGGATTTTACGACCTTGGCTGTCTTCCTAAAGCCACCATTTGTTCATAGGACCACTTTCTTTGGATGCAATACATCACTTGCAAAGTGGACATATATAGAATTTTCATCATATGCACAACATTTTAATCCCCAAGAGCATTTGGAGTTTATTCACAAAACCCAAACAATGAAATTGCATGTTTTTGGCCAAAATGAAAACATTCTAAAACAAAACTATTTTTCTAGTTTTTTTTGTTCTGCAATTATAAACATCCTTAATTCTCCACTATTTCCTGTTTGATAATTCCAAGACAGGGTGTTTAGATGTTCTACTTACCTTGGGAATAATATATCCTTTTAGGATGTATACAAAAGATACATTTTCCTATCTTCCAGTAGTGTCATTATAAGCTTTCTCAAAAATATATTTATAATATTATTATCGTTGACGGAGTGAACTGTTGTATGTATGTATGCTTCTTTTTCAGGTAATCTTAGGTTAACATACTCGGCAAAGTTTTCTTTTGTTTTTTTTCCCTAGTGTCTTAGATGATCAAGGATTGGATTAGAAATGTGAGAGGATTTGTGAAAATGTTTATCAAGACAATTTAACCCAATACATGAAGGGAATTTAAACCACCGCTTATTTTATTAATCCGGCTTTGAGAGACATTTGAGAGGCACGATTTCAAGAGTTAGATTACTAGCAAATTTCCATGCCACCTTGTAAAGTTGTGAGTGATTTATGAAGCCTGGCTGCATTTTAACAATCTAAAAGAGAATAGAACAAGCACTATTAACTTGTACCAGACAATACCCTCTAAGAAAGACAAATAGTCTTGTATTTTTGGGGCGTGATTGGTCTTCACTGTGCCCGACATATAAAAAATTTGGGTACCAGTTCTAGTCTGTCTAGAATGGATTATATTAACTATATAAAGCACATTAATGTAGTCATACCATATATAATTACTGTAATCTCTTGTAGAAATCTTTCTTTTCCTAAAGCATGGCTAGGTTTTTTTAAATTTATTTAGGTTGTCTAGTCCCTTAGTGTTATGTCTGACCTGAATTTTTCAATTTCCTTAACGCGACTAATTCAGAACATTTTTTTTAATAACACGTTTTCAAAGTACTGATAGATTTCCCATTCCACGCTGGAAATAGTTTTTTACAGTAATACAAAGCACATGGAAACAGAAAAGGCAAATATTCAGCTGTATTTATATGTAAAAATCTAACCTTATAAAACATATGCTTATATTGGGCGTTGTATATTCATTGTATCTAGACTAAGCTGGGTTGATATTTCTTTACCCCTATAGCTACCCCCTGACAATGCTATGTCCTTTTATTTATTTTTTCCATTTTCTTAAATGTTTTTTGTTTTTTATTTTCTTTTTGTGGAGGCGATTCAAAGTGAACATCTTTAGAAAAACTTTAGGAACTTAGGGTTGCTATAAACAGTTTCATTCACAGAATTCTGAGTGCTAATTTGGTTGTTGCGCAGTCTAACTGAGAATGTGCTGTCATATGTCACTCCCAATCATTTTACTTATCGGATGCGGGTAGTAGGGGGAGATTGGGTTAGATAGTGTGTAGATGTAGGCTCCAGCTGTTCGTGGGCTAGTCTAAGTTAGACCCCCTTGGTATTTGATAGTATTATTTCTGTTTGTACTTAAGGAGGTTTTGTGGATGTCTAAGAATACTGCTGTGATGATGGTTACCTGTTTTCATTGGTCTCTTTTAGGCTTTAGTGTAAAAGTGAGGTATCTAGTAATCTATGGTGAGGTCTGACAAGTGATTGCTACCTATATGTCAAAATAATAGATTTAAAATTGGCATCAGGCCTATGAAGAAAATAGGAATTGTAGAGTATTGGCAAGGGAAATGCATATTTGAAAGAAACACTTCAAGCACCATAACAACTACAGTGTACTGTTGTGGCTATCATTGTAAGGAGTTTTAGCTTGACTTCTTACCTGTGGTCTGCCAGACACTGGTTTTCTCCTTCACTGCACCTTTAATGAGAGCTACCTGCTCAAGAGCTTCCATTGGCTCTCCTGAGTTAAGCCCTGCAGTGAGCTGTTTGCTCCCAGCCAATGAGCTAAGCTTTACACTGCTTGTCTTAGCTCAGTAAAGAGAGCTTCCGTCTCGTTTCTCATTAAATGGTGGTGAAGGGGGAAGAGCGGTGCCTGACTGACCCCAGGTAAGCAGTTCTAAAACAGTTTGTCACCTTAAAATAAGAGGGCACTGGGTCACCCCTGGCACAATAACTACTACAGCCAGGGCCGTCTTTAATAACGAATGGACCCTGGGCAAGTGTTTGCTTGGGCCCCCTGTGCCCTGCCGCTCTCGCCCCTCACTCCCTGGTATGCAATCACGGCATCCATCCCAACGCAGTGGCGGTACTAAAGTAGAATGAATTTTATTGGGACCCCCAATTGCAAGGTTGGACTAAAGGTAGAACCCCATCTGTCGTGCAACTCCAACAATGCTTTGACAGCTGGGACTCTACCAATTTCCCATGCTTGCAGGGTTGTATTTAGCACTGAGCCATGTTAGTATGTTTGAATGTAAGCATGTGTTTGTATGGAGTATGTTTGTGTGAATGTGTTTGTATGTGGTACTGGAGTTTGAATGCAAGTGTGCATTTATGTGTAGTGTTTGTTTTTGAATGTAGGAGTGTGCTTGTATGTAGTGTTGACGTTTCAATGCAGGAGTGTGTTTTATATGTAGTGTTGAAGTTTGAATGGAGGGGTGTATTTGTATTTAAAGTTGCGGCTCAGATGCACAGGTACACACTCTGACGCACAAGCAGATACACAGATACATACACTGACTACATACAGATAAACAGGCACATACACTGACAGACACACTGACACAGGTACATATATTGACACACACACAGACACATACACTGGTAGACGTACTGACAGACATACTGACACAGGCACATATACAGACATACTGACACACAGACACATATACCGACATACTGACACACACACACAGACACATACACTGATCAACATACTGACACACATACACTGACAGAAATACTGACACACACTGACACCCACACACTGACAGATATACTGACACCCACATACACTGAGAAATACTGACACACACACACAGGCACATACACTGACACACACAGACTGATATGCTGACACACACACACACAGACATACTGGCACACAGACAGATATACTGACACATGCATACACATGCACTAACAGACATACTGATGCACTGACAGACATACTGACACATACACAGATATACACACACATATATATACTGACACACAGACAGACATACTGACACACACACACAGACATGCTGACACACACACACACACTACACACACACACACTAACACACAAACACACACTAACACACACACACTAACACACATACACTAACACACATACACTAACACACATACACTAACACACATACACTAACACACACACACACACTAACACACATACACAAACACACACACTAACACACATACACTAACACACAAACACACATAAACACACACATACATACACTAACACACACATACACTAACACACAAACACATACACTAACACACACAAACACATACATACACTAACACATACATACACTAACACACACATACACTAACACACAAACACACACACATACACAAACACTAACACACATACACACAAACACACATTTTTTTTTTTTAAATGTAATCCCCCCAGCCTCCTTACCTTTTGGAGTGCTGGGGGGATTCCCTGGTGTCCAGTGGTGCTGCTGGGCTCCTGGGCGGGTGGCCGGTCGGGCAGGTGCCTCGGGCCCCCCAAGAGAAACTGGGCCAGGGGCAGCTGCCCCGTTTGCCCCGCGTTAAAGACGGCCCTGACTACAGCATGCTTTAGTGATGATGGTTCTTTACTTGGAATATTTGCAAAACTTAATTTGCTTCATTATAAACTTTTTTTTTTAATGTTTTTAGCTATTCTGTTTTGACATAACGTTTTCCAATCGCCTTGTTAATTCTACACAATTGTTGGTTTAGCAAAGAACCTGCTTGCGTTAAACTAAAACATTATACAGAGTGAAATTTCAGTATGCATCCTGCAATTCAGTGATATAAGAGAATTGTCAGGGGTCTAGACTTTTTCCAAGATATATATATATCTATATATATATACATACTTGTGTGTGTCTGTATCAAGCATAAACAGATTTACAAGTGAAGCAGACATCAGTAGAAATGACATCCCAGCAGCTGTGTGCCTTAGTTGACTAATGCAAGTATAAATATGGTATAGGAAAGATGATAAGATCACATCGTTAAATCTGCCTAGCAATAACTCTTAATGCAATGGTGAGGCAGGTAATGTTATGTATGTATCATTAAATGTTCAACAGCTAAATGTTGGAGACAGCAACAGATAAATATACACTTGGTATGAGGGTATCTGAGGACAGATATTAATTAAAAAATAAATACATACATGGATGAGCCACAAAAAGTTACCCAATGTAAAGAATATATTTTATTATGATCCAGAGATAGATTTTCAGATAAATAATTAAAATTAAGAAACTATAAATTATCGCCGACACTGAACGTAAAGAGGGAGGTTTTTGTAAGGCAGAAACAGGTGCTATTCTGGGGCAAACTGATAAATGAGGAGCAATGATCATGTAACCTTAGAGCTTTGCACCCAAAAGAGCACTTGTTTAACCTTGATAAAGCTGTGGCACATGTATTGATTACAGAAATAGTGCAAAACAGTGCGAATATACCCTCTAATCACCAATATTGTTAGTTAGGGTAAAACACTTAGCTTATATGAACAGCTTCCCGAGGTCCCGTCCCTGTTGGTGACCTTATACAAACAAGATATGAAACAAAATATATGGTATACAGCTGATTACCTAAAATACAAAAAAAAAAAACAGGTGCAAAACTGTGTTAGTGGATCCACAGAGCCCCCACTAATTATGGAACTCACAGACTCCAAATGTTTCAAGCACCTTGGATAATCTTTCTTTAAAAAGGAGATCGAAATTCTTTGAAGGACAAATATTTTTTGTAATTTTTTTTTTTTTAAATGTATTTGTCTTTTTGTTTGTCATGTTGATAGTTGCATAATGTTACTAGTGTAGTCATACTGCAGGTATGAGAAAGTGTCAATAAAAATTACAAAAAAAATGAAAGCCAGATTCTGTGCAACTGGTGCAAGACTATACTTGGTAAGTCTGTTGCTATTGGTGATGGTTGGTGAAATTGATGACAGATACAGAGGTTCACTGATCAATCAGCAGGTCGGTCATCAGACACAATAGGGACCAACACTACCTTCAAACGCTTCCTTAAGATCTTTAGAAGGAATAGTGTAAACACTTAGGATACACATAACATGTTACTGAACTAGGGTACATTTTGTAAAATTATAGGGGAGATGTTGCTTAATAATTCGTGAACGTTATTTTTTTTTTTTTGTGCCAATTATCAGTTCACTATTTATTATTTTTCTACTTTATGCGACTTATGTTTTCATTATTTGTTGGTTATAGCAATCTATTATTTCATATTCATGCCTTTTTTTGTATTAAAAAAGTATTCATTATTATTTACACCACTTTTATTTCAACATTGAAGACAGTGAAGTAGAGGCTTCTTAGTTCATGGTTCAGAGTCCCAAAAAACGTTTTAATAAAAATGAAAAAAAGGCAACACTTTTAGACTACTTTTAAAACACTTTAACAAACTGTAAAAGAAAGACGCTCTGCTGTTCTTTACCCTAGGACCTGAAGTTCTGGCCAAAATTAGACATCATAGGGTTTACTTATCAAACACTAAATTGAAAACGAAATAGTAAAAATAGGTCTAAAAGTGCCCTAGTCACCGTTTGGCTATTTTTGCCGAAATGTTGTGATCTGGATTTAAATTCACTTCAGTTTAGTGTTTAGTGATAACCCCCATGTGTTTTCATGCTTTCAAAGTCATAGGCCTGTGCACTTCAGCACCTAAACTCTGGACATGTCAAAAGGCCCTTTGAAATCCTTCTCCGATACATACCCTCCTTGTGACTCCTGTGTGAGGCAGTGATCCATGACTTCACGCATCATTAGGGGAATGGGCAACCAAAGCAGAACGTGCCTGTTAAGAGCCTAGTCATCTAGGATAAGAGGAAGTGGTAGCAAATGTAAAAAAATAAACAGTAAACAGAAGCGTTTAATTGCAGTGTGTAATTCCCAGGTGACAAGAGTTTTAACTCTTCTATGAGAGAATAATAGAAGACAATAGATGCTCCTTACTGTCTTGTTTCTATGTTAGGCAAGAAGAAATTGCTCCCTGTTGCTATCTCATAAGAATATAAACTTAAATAAAGGTGTAAACACTCCTTGAGTTCCGATATGTGTACTGCAGGCCTGTGTTAGACAGACAGACAGAGTGATAGACAGACAGACATACAGACAGACAGAGAGAGAGAGATGTTATGGGTTATTTTAGCTCTCCAATATGTGGAATACAAATCAAAATATTCCTAGATATTTAACCCCTTCAGGACCGGACTGTTTTGGCCATGTTGTACGTTAAGGACCAGAGCTGTTTTAACACTTTTGTGGTGTTTGTGTTTAGCTGTAATTTTCCATTTCCAAAATACCATTATTTGTACCATGTCATATAATTTTCTTGAAAAAAATAATAAAAGTATGGTGAAAAAATTGAATAAAAACACGTTTTTTGACTTTTACTTGAATAATCTTTTACTTATCTACAAAAGCTAATGAAAAAACTGCTACATAGATTCAAAATTTTGTTCCGAGTTTAAAAACACCCAGTGTTTACATGCTTTTTTTTTTTTGCAAGTTATTGGGCTATAAGTAGAAATAGGAAATTGCTGTTTCAAATATATATATTTTTAACATTTATCAAGTGACATTGTAACACTGTTATCTGTCATAAATCTCTGAATCACACCAAACATGTACATATTTTTTTTAAAGTAGACAACCCAGGGTATTCAATATGGGGTATGTCCAGTCTTTTTTAGTAGCCACTTAGTCACACTGGCCAAAGTTAGCATTTATATTTGTGTGTTAAAAATGTAAAAAAACAATTATGAACGCTAACTTTGGCCAGTGTTTTTTTACTAAGTGGCTACTAAAAAAGACTGAACATACCTCATTTGCAATACCTTGGGTTGTCTTCTTTTGCAAATGGTATGCCATCATGGGGGTAAATTCTCATCCCTGGGCTACCATACGCTCTCAAAGGCAACATAACCAATCTGGCAATTTTCAATGTAAAAAAATGTGACCCTTATATTTGACCCTGTAACTTTCAAAAACACCATAAAACCTGTACAACAGGGGGACTGGTATACTCGGGAGACTTTGCTGAACACAAATATTAGTGTTTTAAAACAATAAAATGTATCACAACAATTATATCATCAGTGAAAAATGCAAAAAAAGTCACTTTTACTGACAATATCATCGCTGTGATATGTTTTACTGTTTTGAAACACTAATATTTGTGTTCAGCGAAGTCTCCCAAGTAAAACAGTACCCCCAATGTACAGGTTTTAGGTTGTCATGGAAAGTACAGGGTTAAATACAGTGCTAGCAAATTAAATTCTCTGGACTTTTGGCCTGGGTTGTCAGGCAGGTCCCCCAAATTGCAATCAATAAAAATATTACATAAATATGCACGTAGAATTTAAATATATTTATGTATTTGGCCCATGGAGCAGGGGGCACCAAGTGGCTGACACAGCTCACACATGGCCAGGTGACAGGAGTGCAGGGGGGGGAGCGAGGACAGGTCCCCAGGAGGAGGATTTCATTATTCTCCACCCGAATCTTTGAAAAAAATTATTGAGGCAGCGGGGGCGGGGCTTGCTGCATGATGGGGGCAGGGCTAATACCTACCAGAAGCCCCTGGTAACTCCTGCACCCAGAGTACCTGCTTCCCCAACAACCAACTGCCTCCACTCCCCTTACCAGCCATAATGGAAAGAGGTAAGTGTGTGTGTGTGTGTGTGATTGTCTGCCTGTGTGTGTGTCTGCCTGTGTGTGTGTGTGACTGCCTGCCTGTGTGTGTGTGATTGTCTGCGTGTGTGTGACTGTTTGTGTGTGTCTGTGACTGCCTGCCTGCCTGTGTGTGACTGTCTGCCTGTATGTGTGTGTGTGGTGTGTGTGTGTGACTGTCTGCATGTGTGTGTGACTATCTGCCTGTGTGTGTGAGTGTGTGTGTGACTGCCTGTCTATGTGTGCGTGACAGTCTTCCTGTGTGTGATGAGAAAAAATAGAAGAAGCCCAGGCACTCTCAGGATACAAAAAGGGAAATTTATTGAACCCACTGCAACGTTTCGACCTACGCGGTCTTGACAAAGACTGTGTAGGTCGAAATGTTGCAGTGGGTTCAATAAATTTGCCTTTTTGTATCCTGAGAGTGCCTGACTTCTATATTTTTTCTCATCAAATACTTGGTTCCTGGTACTGGAACTGGTCTGGTGCACCCATATACATTTCAAATGGGTTTGAATGCAGTTCCACATTCCTGCTATATTATAGTCTCCCTGTGTGTGTGATTGTCTTCCTGTGTGTGACTGTAACTGTGTGTGTCACTGTAGCTGTGCCTTTGTGTGTGCCTGTATGTGTGACTGCAACTGTGTGTGACTATCTG